GTTAATAACAGAATAATATTTTGGCCTGTGCTTAGAGTACGTAAGATTTCTATTCAGTTAACGATTATTGTACATACATATACAGGTATAAAGTTACAAGATATTTACATGATTATTTTATTGATACGAAATTTTTGTAGCGGTAAATGTCAATTGTACAGTCACTAAAGAGACAGAGAGAGAGATAGAGAGAGAGAGAAAAGAAGAAGGAAAAAAAAGCAAGAAGAAGAAGATATATTAACAAATTACATTGCAGCGTAACTTGTAATTGCAATCTGACGACGATCATTGAAAATCCACTTTTTTTGAAAGAAAAGAAAGAAGAAAAAAAGAAAAGAAATGGCTGCTCCTTGTAAGAGATAGTGTGGACTCGTTGTAAATATATACGTAAAGAGAAAAACAGATCAAGAAACGACGTTAAATTGCGTTCTAGTGTTAATCAAGTAATTACAGAACGATTGCCCGAAAACGATTGTTGCGTACAGTCAGTCTAATAATAAGTAGCATATCAAACATTGGAGAAATGCCTGACGGATTAACGCGACCGAATCTTTCGTCAAAACGTCAAAAGAAGTTCTAGTTTCGTGGTTAATCTGACGGAGAGAAGAGATTCGGCCTCGAGGGGGGAGGGGGTATGTTCAAGGAACATATTGTCGAGGATTATACTGTCCCTCGCTGAAATAATCGCGAAGATATTGATGTGCCGCGATGTGTCATGTATTTATATTGCCGCAGAAACACTGGGATGCGCGGGATATGTCTCGCGCGGAGCTGATCATTCTCCGTGTGTGAAGTAGCATAAATAGAGAATCGGATATTTTATTATGAAGAAGAAAAATGTATAAATCTCTATGTATGTAATCTTGTGATGCTTTGTATGGTATTGTACATATTAGCGTAAGAGAATTGTGTGCTCTGTGTGATCGAACGTAAAAAAAAAAAGAAAAAAAAAAAAACAAAAAAAAAAAGGTATCTAGATGCATATAAAACACGTTAATGCCAAAATTTGTGCTGGCCTTTATAAAAAAAAAAAAAAAAAGAAAAAAAAAAGGAAAGGAAGGAGAAGAAATATTCGTGTGATTTTGGCACGATTCGTAACCTTGAAATGCTAATGAGATTCAGTTCGAATCTAGATATATTTGCCGTGTGCACTTACATTATGTCTCCTACGTTCTTCTAATTATCTGTCGACAATAACCATGAACTATGAAAACGATGCAACAGGGAAATACTAGGGGAAAGGAACCGATTTCGTTTAACGAAACGGTCTATATCTAGTGAGTGAAAAACCAACTTTAGCATTTGAAGGTTAATGCACCAAAGTCTGTAATCACTGTACAGAAACCGATCCTATGGATAAGAAGAGAAAAAAGGATTTAAAAAAAAAAAAAAAAAAAAAAAAAGACGAAAAGTACCGAGAACACGTCGGTGCAGTGGTTTTGTATCTATAAATTTTTAGCCCGATCAGAAGGAAACTCGAGGCATCCTGTATATATCGTTTGAATTTCACACTGGAACTATTTTCTATGCGTCCCTCTCTTATCACCCACTGCCCGTATATCCAATCGGTCGACCGAATCTCACGAATATTCCGATTTCTCGTCACTCTCGTTAAACAATCAAAGCACTCGTTATCTAACAAGGAGACATTCACACGTTATGATCAGTTGTTTCGCATAGTGATTATGAAAGCACATACTAGGACACGATTGATCTCTCTATTCGTAATCTATCGACAAAAACTGCCGACAATTGCTTGTTCAATTTGTATTTACACGCGAGCGAAAGAAAGAGGGAAAGAAGAACAGCTTTTTTTTTTT